AGGTACTTGCAGGCTTGTGGATCCTGTTCCTTAAAATATTAATTCCTTCAGATTCTTTCTTTGCCTAAGAATAGTTAATTCCCCCAAATCACTCAAACATCCTTCACAGAAATAAGTGGAAAAAACAGAGAGGATCCAGGAAGCTGTTGCACCTGCAAATATTCTTCAAAGTCTTTGATTTGTGTAATGAACTCACAGACAGAAAGGCAGAAGAAATGTATGATCATAGCTTTTAAAAGAAATATCTCCTCATAGCAAAAGCTTAAAAAAAAAATGGCCAGCAGAATCTCTAGAGATCCTACTGGCAAAAGGAAGAACAAGCAAACATGTTAGCTGACACCTGATGAGTGGGAAAGTGTGTGGTGGTTCTCAATGGTAGGAGGGGACTAGACTTGATGACCCAAGAGATCTGTCCACTCTTGACTTCACGCTTGTAATTACGTCACACATTCATTAGCCGTTATTCTGTAAAGACTCAAGCTTGTATGCAGCAATGTCGCTTCACAGGACTCTACAATATGGGGCAAATGCAATACTTTTAGATATCTCATGGTGACTACTGCTGACGGCAGCAGACTGAACACATTTTAGTTCCCTTTTCTCCCACTGCTTCTTGCCTAATATCCTGAGGAGAGCAGTTTTCTCTACTGATCCTGATAATGAAACCCACAAGCAGCACTCTTATGCAAACCCTCGCTGAGAAGCAGAACTCCTCTTAGCGAACAGACCAGGCTGTTAAGGTGATAAATCCGTGGACTGTTTCACTGAAGGAGCCAGTTTTTCTGCCTGTATCAAGATATTGGAGAGCTTTGGGGAATCCAGGTAAATTGTTGTACATGTTTGTCTTAGCAATAAATGTGCAAAATTCCAGGAGAAATGGAATCAGTACAAGGTATTACATATAACCTCATGTAACTGGAAATTTTAATTGTAGGTTTCACTTAGAATTAGATGTGGAGCTGAAAAGTTGCAAAGCTGACAAAATGGACTTTTCTCTCTCACAGTTTTGTCTTTGGTTCCCTGAAATTTTACCAAGAGCCATTGTAATTGAAGTGACCTTTGCCTTTTGAAGAATAATAGAAATTGTATCACTTAAAGGCAATTATTTTCTAGTAACTCCTTTTTCGTTATTTGTGACTGGTTGGTTTGTGGGTGGGGTATTTTTTAATATACCATACTCTGGATTGAGATATCAGTGCATGCATTTTGTTTGCAGTGGGTCATGGAAAATGCTTTTCTTACCAGTGGTGAGTCAGAAAAGTTGGTACTCAAGGGCTTAAAATTGCACAAAATTTCCTTTAAAATCATATCAGATCTTGCAATTCTAGAAATAAGGGTAGGAACTTTCCAGTGGCAGGAACTCAAGTTTTTCTTCCTCGAGATTTGGAGATGTTACATTAGCATTAGTGGAATAACCAGAGTCAAATCAAATACGTTCGTAAGGCAGTCACTCTATACACTATATATAATCAGAGTTCTGAGCAAAGAGGGATTTGTCTGCTCCATTTGTGGGCAGACTCGCTCAAAAATCTCCATTATTCTGAAAGCTGTTGATTACCAGATGAAAAAAGTAATTTTAAAAGCTAAAATTATTAAGTATCATGAAACTCTGTGCTTATATAGAGCTATTTAAAAAAAAAAAAATCATAATCCTTTTTCAGAAAGGGATATCAGTTAGTCTGTTGTTTTGGATGTAAGTTCTTGGTGGAAAACTGAAGCTGCCAGGCTTCTGTTGTTGAAGACTGAATTGGTTGATAGTTTTTCTGATTTTCGCATAGACAAGTACCAACAAGAAGCAAGAAAATAAAAGAGAAACTTTGTGTTGAACCTATCAGGACATAGGATGAAGAGATGACTGTGCATGGAGAGATGCTTTGACCTCGTGCATAGTCTGTGACAGCAATAGTCCTGATCTCAAACTGGGGTGTCATCTGGCTGTTTAGTCAAGCCCTATGCCTTCACTAGTCCTGGTCTCAAACTCACCTGGAGTGGATGAATTATATTGTCCTGTCATGTTCCTGCAATATGATGTAGTTGGTCTTATGATTAAGTAAAAGACAGGCAAAAGTGACAAGAGAGGGACAACAAAGGTGTAGAGGAATGCACGACAGAAAAGATACAGAATAGAGTGTGATCAGGCTGGAACACTGGCTTGTCTAATTTTGACACACTGTCTTGTTTAATTCGTTGTCTTGCAAGATCTCCGCTCTGCTTTCCAAATGCTGCACTCACTATTAGAGGGAGTCTTCTGTAACAAGTAATTATAAGTGGACTCAAGAGGAAGAAAAGCAACTTGGAAATGATTTCTCTCTTCTGGAAACAACAAAGTTGCATAATGATAATTCTGAAGTCTCTCTGTATGGAAAAGGACATAGTCAAGCAATAATTTATCACAAATCCACTAGCATCTTGTGCAAGCAGCTACACTCCCTCGAATCCATTAACTTCAGTAGAAGTTAAATCAGGCCTTTATGTTGCCAAGTCATTTTCAGATCTATATTTTTCTGTAACTTTCATAAGTCATTCTCCTTGCCTTTTCTGTCTAGTTCCTTATTCCTTATATCCTGTCCATGGGTTAGAGCTCAATTCCTTTAGTAGTTGCCAGATTCTGTGGTGATTTCAGTATCACAGAATTCATGACTATGCACACTTTTCTTTGTAAAACGTTAGCTTTATAATCTTTATTTCATTACGTTCTAGCAAAGTTGAAGAATTGTACAATTCATTGTACTATCAACAATTACATATATTTAATTTGCTTAATTAGGATCGTATGCACACACATCTACTCTTCCTTTCACTGATGCAGTGTTGCTGTTTGAAGAAAGAGCAGCACAAGGGGAAGCTGAAGTGAAATGATCTTTTGGCTTCATCAAGACTGTAAAGTAAATTATGAGACCGTATTTATGTTGAAACAAAACAAATGTTTTTCGATCAGGCTGCTAGTTGAGACGGAATATTCACAGTAAATTCAGGAAGAATACAGTTGGAACTTTTCTATTTCTTGTGTTCTTATTACACTGTACTTCTGTGGAGCAATGTGCAGTTGTATTCTAAATAATGGAGAATTGCACTCGTCTACACTGAAGCATAATTAAGATCTAGTTGAGGAAGAATTCCATACAAGTGAATCTCAATATCTGTGTTAAGTCCATGTTGAAGGCAGTGGGAAGCTGGGAAAGCACTGCGTATACAAATCTCCTTGATGAATCTATGGCATGGAAACTAAAACCTGGGTATTGTTCTAGGTTTGGGCAAACACATTTGAATAAGGCAACCATCTTGTATCAAAGCAAATGTTACCTAAATGCTGCTTCCGGTTCAGACCAGAAGCTGAAACACCAACGTATTTTGCAGTGAGTTTCCCAATAAAGTGCAAAGAGAAAGGTCAGAAAATAACCCAAGTACTTCTTATAGGAGATTTCTCTGTCCCACAGGCACTTTGCACTGCAGGGCTAAGGGTAGGGTGAACTTAATCTCACTTCAGAATCTTGTCAAGTTCTCATATTGTGATTTACAACCTACTGCATGTGCTAATGGGATAGGTAACTGCTGTCACTTCTGGGAAGGAAAATGTAGAAACTGCAGGAATTACTCTAATTGCAGGGCCATAAATGAAATATTCTCTTTTCCCAGTTCCCCATCTGTCTACCTGGCCAGCCAGGTTGTGCATTAGAGTCGACAATATGGCTTCTAGTATAATGGTGCTTATGAAAGCAGGAACTGGTGATATACTGTCCGGATTTTATCTGGGACAGAGTTAGCTCTTCTTTTTAGCAGCTAGAAGAGCTCTGTGTTTTGGTTTTACTCAGAGGCTCGCTCTGAGAAGAATGCTGATAGCAAGCTGATGTTTGTAGTTGGAAGTGAGACTCCAAGGACTTTTCAGTGTGCCGGAGTGCAGAAGCACCGCGGGAAAAGGGGGGAGCATAACCAGGACAAGGGGGCCACGATTCCCCTTGTGATTTGTGGTGGAACTTAAGATTGAGGGCCAAACTGGCCAATTAGTATTCCATATCATGCAGCGTCATGCCCAGTATAAAAGTGAGGGACAGCCGGACAGAAGGGCTTTTGCGCTTTGGCTCTTTCGCCGCTTTTGCTCCTTTGTGCTTGCTGCGCTTTTGCTCTATTGCTTTTTTTTTCTCTCTTTTCCAGTACTCCCACTCTCGGAGTACTCTCTCTCTCTTCTGTTCTATTGTCTTTTTTTCCCACCCTCTCTTCCAGGACTCCCACTCTCGGAGTACTCTCTCTCTCTCTCCCTCTCTATTTCGGGGCCTCGTGTTTGTCCGGGATTGCAGCTTCGGGATGAGATGGGCTTTGGCTAAGAGGGGGTGGTGAGCATCTACACTGTGTATTAAATCATCTGTATTAAATTGTTCTTATCTCAACCCACGGGTTTCCCATTTCTCCTTTAATTCTCTCCCTCATCCCTGGGGTTGGGGGAGGGTGAGTGACTGAGTGTGTATGGTTTGATTGCCAGAGCGGCCTAACCCATGACATATACATTAAAGAGAAGTAGAAAGATTTCACAGCTTCTTACTCTCTTCTGATTCTTAGAGTGTTACCTTTACCACTTACCGCTGACAGTAAGTAAATGAGAGAGACTATGTTGCTGATAGTAAAGTCTTTCATATGCCCGGGAGCTTTATACTCCTGAAGAGCCTGTAAATCTGCATCACTAGGGCAAGGTTTGCTTACTGTACTGAGAAGAAATTTATTAAAAGAAATCCATTGAAAGTCCTAACATGGCAGTAGTGAATGATTCAGTGCATTTGAAAGCATGTATGCATGTCATTGATCTTGCTCTTGCAAAGGTGTAGAAAACTTCCCCAAAACCATATATCATAACAAGAAAAATTTCTTCAAAGCCACCTTTCCAGCTCCCAAAAGGTCAACATGCTGAATGTCTCTTGTCATAGAATCATAGAATAACTTGGGTTGGAAGGAACCTTAAAGATCATCTAGTTCCAACCCTTCCTTTTTTTTTTTTTTTTTTTTTTTCCGCAAGATGGTTTTATTATCAGACCAAAGTTTGAAAGATTGTAGCTGGGCATCTGAATCATTAATTCATTCTCCTTATCAGTCTGTTGATCTGATCTTCTCTGTTACCAGCATCCCCACCTTCCATGAAGTGGATTGTTTTCTTCTTCATTCCACCCCAAGGAGAGAATAATTTGAAGGGCCAAAGGAAGTTGTTCACAACTTTGAAGTTCTTTTCAACAGTGTAAATTTCATGGATCACATCTTCCATGCAGATGATGCCAAGTTTCTAAGGCATTTCTGAATCAGGCGATTATCAGCAAAAGCAATGCGCTGCTTGTTGATCTTGCCATAACCACGCTTGTAGATCAGCTCCTGCACAGACTTCAGATTGGGATAACGCCATGCAATGTAGGGTTCTACAATCCGCAACATGTTGATAGAAGCTTTGAGTTTTACAAATGTGCCATTAAAAATCAGATGCAGGTGAAGAAGCTGCAACACCTTGCTGACAACATCGGTACCTCTCATCCTGATCACGAATGCCAGTTTTGGTTCCGCTGGAATGTAGTAATTGCCAGCTTGTCCAGAATGTTCACGTGGCTGTGGTTTGACACAGTAGATTTTCTTAAATTTCAAATGGAAGATGTAGCAGAAGAATCAAGTTACTGCTATAACTTTCAGAAGAAATGAGCTGATGAGTTGGCCAAGCAGCTGATCAGATTGTCATTTATAAGTTCTGGAGGCTTCAGATGCTGACGTAAGTTACAGTATCTCTGAGGGTTTAGATTTTGCTACAGAAGTTAAAAGAAAGCATGCATTAGTACAAAGTCAAGAGAGATCAAAGACAAAAAGCTTTGCTATTCTCTCTGACTTTGCAATTAGCTTAACTTCCTGTTTAAGTGGCCAAAATTAGGGATCTGTGAGGTATTGTGGGAGAAATCTCGAATGATTAGTGATACATACACAGATCTCCACAGTGTATTTGTGTGTGTGCATGAGTGCGTGTCAACCAGCAGTAGATGGCTTAAACCTGATAATCTCCATAGTAAATGTGTACTTCCTCCCTTCCCTGTATGTGCAAAAGAGAGAACAATATGGTGCTCCGGGGATGTTTCATATATGTCTGTCTTGTTCGGGCTGCATTTATTGTAAGTAACTTTGTAATACAACACAATTTGGAAAGCTTGATTTTCTTGGTGATATTGAAAGACTGAGAAAGTTAGTGTTAAGTTGCCGAAGTCACAGGTAAAACTATTCTAACATAAGTGGCAATTCATGTAATGAGAGACAATTAAACAGAATGCAAAAGGAGCAGAACTCCAATTTAGAAGCTCTTGTTAATGAAGTAAAAAAAATTACTGAACACCTGATGAACTGTACTGAATGAAGACACAGTTCATTCTTCAACTTCTTTCTAAAATGTTTTTTTTATGCTTATTTACTGTGCTTTGTAATGATATTCCTTTGTTTCCAAACAAATGATTGAGAGTTAGAACATCCCTGCTTTATACCATTAGTCTTACGTTTTAACTTCCCCACACCAAACAGATCACATTTAAACAAGTTTTGAATGAGATGCTCCAGCACATCTCTTGTAGCTGCACCCCAGCTGCCAGTGTGAGCTGGGAAAGGACTCTCTGTAGCCAAGGGCTCCTGGAACCCAAAGGTGGCCCCAGCGCAGTGGGACCAGCTGGCTCCTCTTTACCCCCATCCTTCACTTTGTTCTAAGTGTATTGAATTTAAATGTATTGAGCTTTTGCTCTCAGTTCGTTTTAAAGACTGGTCCTGAAATGTATTGAACAAGGCTGACCAATTAAAATATTTTCAAACAAAGGTGAGTTTTATCCACTTGGTATTATTCAGCTTCCTTTTTTTCCCCCAAGAATTGAAGTATCTTTGACAGTATTTGGCTGTATTGATTGTCATTCCTTCCTATTTTACTCCACATATTTTCGTTTCCCTCCACACATGCAGTCTTTTTCGGATTCAAAATGGAGAAGAGAAACCAGGACAAAGTGAGGGCGGAGGGAGCAGCAGGGAATAAAATCGCCAAAATGGGAAAGAAAAACTGACATAGACACCCCAAACCAGAAGCATTTCTGTTTTCACAAAGGAACTTTTGGTTCTCCAAAGACCTGGCAGGAATAACGCTAGTCTGGTACATAATTCAGGTTCTAACAGAGTCTGCGCTTCTCACCTCAGGACACTCCTATTTTTAGGGATGCATGAATTTTAAAGTAGAATGTTTTTCCTTATATTTATTAGGTGTTCAGTTCCCAATTCCAGAAAGAAACAGAAGTTATTGTGTGCCCAAAAGGAGCTGCATGACCACTCTCTAAAGGTAGTACCTGCACTGAAAATTTTAAAAGACTGTATAACCACAGCAAGGATATAACAAAGTGCTCGGCTTCTCTAACCCTACAGGAAGATCTGCTACAATATCTCCACAGCCAATCAGCAGTACTACAAGCCTCAGACCAGGAAACTCTTTAAAGTACAGTATATGTGAACATTGCAACAGGGACTTTCTCATTACTGCTCTTTCTTTTTCTCCTCTTTATTCTTACAGGATGGCAAGGCATATGTGAAGTCACTCATGGCAAAATTTGACAAGGGTAACAGCCCTGCAGAGGATGTTTCTGGTAACAGTCGACCCTCCAACGTGCCAGGACAACCTATCCACACTGGATTAGAGATGAGGAAAGCAGCACTTGAGAAATGTGCAACTCAAGGAAATGCAAATTTCCCTGCAAGTTCCAGCACCTTTCACAAATCTGTTCATCCTAAGCCTCCGCTGGGGGTCAAGCCTTCAACTGATGATATAAGACAGAAGGATCAAAAGCCCCCGTATTTGAAACCAGTGGCACAAAGGTTTGGGGTTCAGCTACAGGCAATTAACAGAGAAAATGACGGAAGAGCCGGATGCACTAAAGCCCCCACCAAAACCAGTGACTTAGCAGAAGAAGAGCCAAAGCCTCTGTATCGAAAACATGCCGGAAACAAGTTCATTAACTCTGCTCCTCAGGAGAAAGAAAAAAATCCTCTGGGAACAAAACCAAATTCAAATTTTGCACCACAGGACAGGGAGGCAACACCATCATTTTCAAAAGTAGCTGCAGTTAAGGAAAAGTTCATGCCTGCAACACAAGAAAATGAGCCCAAACCTCCTTTCTGTAAACCACCTATTGCACAGAAATCTTCTCTAAACTACGAGGTCTCTCATAATGAAGACACTTCTAAGAAAAATGTTTTTCTGCAAAAAGGACTATCAGGCCCTAGACCGAATATACACTCATTTAAAGGAGCAACGGAAATGGATGAAAATAGTAGCTGTGGTGCAGAAGCTGCAGGCAGTCATCTTTCTAACATAGCACTGAAGCCTACTAGCCACCGGCCCAGCTTGTCTCAAGGCAACCTCAAAAACGTGGAGAAAAAGACTGAAGAAGAGGGAATGAGTGCTGCCAAGAACATCTTTCTCAACAAAATCATCCAGGAAGAATCAGGTTCTTCTTCTTCTAAGTTCCGCAAGATGAATGCAGCACTTGCTGCAGGAAGGCCATCAGGTGGATCACAAGAGAAAGAGGACGGGGACAGGAGCTCAGGAACCCCCAAGCGGAAACCTTTGCCCCCACTGTTCAAGCTGGGCCAGCCCCCGCAGAAGCCCAGCAGACCCCCCAGCGTGGACCTGGAAAGGTTCCAGAAGAACAGCCCAAAAGAGGGTAAGTCCTCTCTGTTCTTGCTTTCTTGGGTATTTGGGTTTTTATGCATTTAGTACCTGATTAATTTCAGGTGAATTTCCCTCTTCTGTTCAGAAGTAACACAAGGCTTGCTCATCAGGCAACCCCTTAAAGCTTTAACCTAGGCTTGTGTCTCTTCCGTAGAGGACATCAAAATTATGTTCTCTCTCCCTCAGCAATGAAGTGTAGGATGAATAATGTTTGTATTGGGTTTGTTTGTTTTTCAAAACTGTTTAGATGTAGCTATAACTTGTGTCAGTGAGTTGAAGTATTTTTCTCAACAGGCATTTAAGTCCTGACTTCCTATAAATGAGATGTCCATGTTGTGTGTCCTGTTCTCAAAAGTAGCTTCCTGGGCACAGTTTGAGGGCCACCAAAATGATGTACTACAACCTGTAGTAACCACACTTCTTTTTATTTCTTTCTTTTTCACCTTTCACCGTGACTAATCACAGCATGACCCACTAAAGTGCTGTGTTTTAAAGTTTATTTAGAAAGTTGAACACTATACAGAATTACAGAATCAATTGTTCCCACATGGAGCTGCATCGATTTTATATCCAGATCTGAATTCAGACTCCAAAAGCATCTCCTTGACTTAGTGCTTTGTATTAGGTTTGCAAGATTTCAGCAGTGTGGCCGGCAGCAGCACCTGAGGCCCTGCCTCACTATTTTTGTGAAGAACCAAGCCTCTGAACTTCTGATGGTCATAATCCAGGCATGAATACTAAGGCTTGTCACAAGGTTTCTGTAAAATTTGGCATGGTCTTGTCTGTGAGGAGAGTTTCTGTAAACACATTTGAAATATCTGGGAGGACTCAAGTCCCTGTGAAAAAAAGAATTGCTGGGACTGCGCTCCTGCAAAGAATTCTGCTTCAACAGGTTCCTCTCACTGCGTAAGACCAACTGCAATAATGATATAAACTGTTTCTGAGGCACTCAAAATATGCCCTTGAAAATCTCATGTAAAAAGGTAGTTTCCTAAAGTTAGACCCAGAAATCTACTGTCAACCCCCTTGAAGGAGAGATCAGCTTTGTGCAGGTTCTGAATGCCCTTAATTCTCCCTTGCATCACCTGTATTTCAAACTTTTGAGTTAAGGTTTTCCTCCAGAGCTTTTAGGCTCTCTCTGACAATTTTGAACAGCTGAAATCAGCCATCCTTATCTCCACTTGGAATGGGTGATGCCAATTGACACATTTCTATTGCATGTGTTATAGTAGATGAAGGAGGCTTTTGATTTTTTTCTTATAGCACCAGGTGTTAGGAGCTATGATTGAAGGAGAAACTCTGATCGCATTTTGAAATCCAAGTTTTAAGCTGCATGGGTTTGGAGGAAAGCTGTTCTTGATCTCAGTGCATGAGAGAAACAAGGACAGAAATAAAAAAAAAAAATATTGTGTTATTTTTTGAGTTTTTTTCATTTATTTTTTTTCCCCCCTTAATGCATTTTTTTCCTCCCTTAATGCAGTACTGTCTGCATTGAGCTAAGGAAGGAAGAATATATTAAATCCTCACTTATATTTTTTTAGCTCAAGTAATTTTAACCAGATATGTCCTGCAACAAATTGTGTCAGGTGATACACATGGCTAAGTAATTTCAGATAATGCATTTCACCTATATTAGTCTGCCTTAAGCATCTCTCTTAGATTTCATTTAACAGATCAAACTTAGACTCAACTTTTCAGCATAGTCAGTGGGAAAGGGAGATGCGCGATGGTGTGATTCAGAGCGTTAAATTTAGATGCCTCATGCAGCTGACAATAGATGCTCTGAGTAACTCCACGCTGTGTGTGTGCAGCACATCAGGTACATTCATATAGTTTAATTGATAGAAAATTTGTCCTTGTGCCTTCTGTATAGAATATAGTGTGGCCTGTGCTTCAGCAGTTTTGCATGCACTTCAGACTGGTCTTCCTGAGACAAAAGGCATTCAAAGGGGTTATGACTGGATGAAAAACCTCAGAGCTGACTTTCTCTAAAGACAGAAAGCCACCCTAAAAACACAGAGTGTGCATGCAACTATGTATTCTGTTATTATTAATTCCACTCAAAAATTAGGAGCGTATCAGTAACACAGAATGTTCTTTCTTATCAGCTACATTCGGATTTTCTTGTGTTACCCTACAGTTATGGAAACGTTCCCCCAAATCCATGATCAGGGCCAGATCCTCAAATGCTGTAAATTTATATATCTCTTTAAAATCAGTATGCCAGTTTACAACAGTCTGTGCAGCTGTCCCTTCTCCACAGAGCACTGTTCAGCACAACTGGATTTACTTGAGTGCCAATCTCAAAATGGAGACTTGAGTCTCAAAATGGAAAGGCAGCATTTTCATCAAATGACATCAGCAAATGTTTTCTTTAAACAAAAACAGTAAGAGCTTTTCTAACTAGAACTTTGAAAAGTCCTGATGAAGGCTAGAAACACCCAAAATGGCAATTAATATTTAAAAATACATTTTGTTTAGTTTATTTTTAAGTAATTAATGGAGCAATGATTTGATTTGTTTGTTTGTTGTTTATTCAATTATTAATATTTTTTTCTGGTTCCCATGCAGTTACAGACACAAAGCATTTTTACATCCTCTTTTTAAAACTGAGGGTTAGCTAGGGTTAGCTATATTTATCATACGCGTTTATAATGAATACTGGGAGCAGAGCTGTAAAGATAATATCAGAACTTTTGCTAGAAGGAGGATCTCCAGTTGTCATTAACTGGCACTAGTGCAGTCACCAGCCTGGATGAGTTGCACTGGTAACATGAGATAAGAACGGAGCTGCCCAGTGTGGCGGCAGAAATCAGTCTCCAAACGTATTGCCAAATACACTAAGTAGAACTCAAGGGTCAGACATGGTCTCCTCTACTTCACAGTCTTTAGGTCAGGGCAAGCCTGGAAGATTTAGAAATCACAGCAATACAAAGCTTTTCATAACAGCCCTGCACTACAGACTTCTCCTGTAGAGCTGGCACATAGACCTCCGTGTTCTGTTCGGCTTTAATTAACGCAGCTCATTTTTTTGTGGCCAGAACTCTTCGTAGAATGGTTCCCAGTGGAGAGACCAGGTGTTCTAGAGTGAATCCTGAACAAACTTCTTTTCAGCTCAACAAAGTTATTCATCGCTGCTGGGTTTCTTGGAATGTTAAACTGGATTGACAAAACCTACCTGCTTTGGCAAAACAGTTTAACAGAATTGCTTTCTTTTTTTTTGTTGTTTTTAACTGTCATTTCAAGAATCAAAGTTAGGAAGATACCACCCCCACAGCACAAATTCGTCCTGCTCTTTGCTCTGTCCTGATAAACAGCAGCTTGCCATAGTTACTTAATTTGCTGCTATGATTCAGGTGCTGAGTAAAAAGAAGAATGAGCAAATGGAAATGGTTTTCCCACCCCACAAAGCTTTCTGAGATCTGGCCTTTGGCGTTTTAGATCTGTACAAGTGTAGAAATTAGGCTTTGTATTGTCCTTTGAGAAAAGCTCTGCACATGGCAGTTATACATGTGTTAGGGCATGTGCCTGGGGTGCAGAAAACCTTGTATTGCCTGATTCAAAGCAGGAATTTGAACTCGGCTTTCTCAGAAGTATCATTTCATCCCTCTTTCTTTGATTATAATCCTTCCCAAGAAAACTGCTTTACTGTTTTTTCACAATCAGGTATTCACTGGGCATGAAATAACTTACAACGTTAGAGGCTCAAGGATTTACCTTAGAGGCCACCGTCTTAGTCGTGTGTGGGAGAAGGATTTAAACTGTCCACCATGCGTGCATGAATACTAAAGGATTCTGGTTTGGTGTTGGCCTTGCTTTGGATTAGAAATTTTCACCTGATCCTGAAAAATGTTTCTTGATAAAACTTGGATAGGTACAAGTGTCCTGCTGAGGAAAGTTTGACTCTTGGTGCAGTACTATTTTCCAGTGAAGACACAATTTCAGAAATTCCTGTGTGGGCCTGTGAATACATGGCACTCTGGCAAATTTCTGTGCTATGTCCCATTACAGCGATTGTCCCTGAGAGTAGATCGTACTTAACTCAGCTCAGAATCAATGAGATGCACGTGCTTTCTAGAGTCAGAAGATAATCCCAATGATACTGTTTTATAATAAACACGCAGAGAGCAAACAGGGCTTTGTTAGAAAAAAAGTAGAGAAGCAAAGTCATTTCGCTGACAGCTTTCCGCATGAAGCCACAACCGTACTGTTGCTTTCCAAGGAGAACTGCACCTGGGCTGACTTCAGAGGGATCATGCGTGTACAGATGGCCACCTACATAAAGTCAATGGAAGGCTCAGAGTCTCTAGTGCTCTAAACACCACTGAACACCTCATGGACAATCGACACTGGGGCTTCAGCTAGGGAGAGTCTTTTGAGCTGTACTGGGAGAAATGAAAGGAAACTGTCCTGAATCTAGTAGAAAAGAGGACACGTAAGAAAATTCTCACAATTTATAATTTGGATTATGGTTGTGTCTGCAGTCCTTGTGGAAGTTCTGTTCCACGATGGATTGTGTGTCCACACAGTGACACAGCTATTTTGAGTTGGGTAAGACAGAGACAAAGAAGGAATTAAAATTTGAGGTGTATTGTTCAAGTCATCACAACACTCTGTTGGCGAGGGAATGAACAATCAAGCACCACTACCAAGGACAGTAAATGTCTTAACTATCCTCGCAAAGCCCCTCAGAACCTGTCAATCATTGCTCTTACTTCATGGCAAGGTGAAACAGAAGCTTCCAAAGTTACAAAGGATGGGATTTTGTTATCACAGGATGTCACGGCTGTTTACTGCAGAATCTGAACTTAAAAGGTCAATGCAGGTTTTCTTTTTCTGCCTCAGTGCTAGACTGGATAAAGTTACACAACAGCTTAGTATTAAGGTGTAAGGGGACAAAAAGAATTGTAGCTTGAGCCAAATCATCTCTTTGTAAGATAGATGAAACCAGAAGTAGGTGATGATATCAAACAACACTGTTCAGGGTGGGGC